AAATACAACATGAGCCAGATATACCAGCTGAAATAAAAGAATAATGAGTTCACAAAAGTATGTTGAGCTGTCACTTCACTGTGCCACTGCCCTTTGCAAAAATTATGCACTGAAATCTTGGTTATTTTTCCTTCTCTGGTCTTGGGATTGTATTATTTGCTACGGTGTGAGGCTCTGGAGATGTGGGGGACATAACAAAACAGTGGAGCTAAAGGGGATGTTGCCAGAGGCTGACTCACTGTAATTACAGGGCTAAGGAAAATGACATTTTGTAATTAGCCCACACTGTTAAGCTATTGCTCTCAGATTGAGAAAATCTGTCATTCTCCCGTATTCACCTCACACCAAATAGGTTTCAGTGTTTAAAATTATTCACCTTTATCAGTGACTACTGAGGAGCTGGGATTTATTTGGGGTCTTTTGTTTGCTCTGGAGTTCTCTGAGTTCCCCAGATTGCACAGGTATTTATTAGTCCCATCTATTGCTTTGGATGGATATGTAAATTTGGTTTTTTTGTGTTTCAGTGTTTTTGGGCTGATGGTGTGTTTGTTTCAGTGCCAGTGAATGGTGGATTTTAGGATTAGTCAGCCCAATGGCAAATACTCACAATGCTATCATTTAAAGAAAACTGGAAGGATTATGTCAATTATGAAAAGCAGTTTTTCTAAGAATAGGACTTGTCTGGTGTCTTCTTTGTTTTGAATTATCTTTGCTATTTATGGTGTTATTCCTGCTCCTTCCCATTGCAGAGGAACCCTAAATTCTGGCTCAGAGCAGGTTGGTTCTGCTTCAGCTCTGCACCTATTTGCATTGTGTAAAACCCTTCTGCTGCTGCTTATCCCCCACCAAGAGTTTTCAAACATGAGAAGTGGCTTTGTTTGATGCCACTTGGCGTCAGTGCACCAGCACAGCTCACTCACTGCACTAACCAGGGCAGCTTTGCTTCACTTTCCCTCCTTCAATGTTTGCCAGCAAAGAACAGCTGTCCTGGAGCTGTGCTGCAGCTGTGACAGCCTGCAGGGGGTTGTCACTCGTGTGTTTAACCCCGACCCTCAGCCTGCTGTGGGGGACACACTGCCCTGGGTTGCTGCTGTGGGTTTGGTGATGTCTCACTTTTCCTGCTGTTCAGAGTAACCCAACAGCATTTCCATTCCAGCACTGTCTGTGTCTTCAGCTGTTCCTGAACTCCTCCTCTAATCCCTCATCTGGGTACAGCTTGACCTAATTTACAGCTATGCCATTTTCATAAGGAGGGGTAAGATGTGGGATTTGTGTGAAATACTTTGCTATATTGCACAAGAGTGTGTTTTGTTTCTGCTTTAACAAGGAACTTGTTTATGTGTAAGTGTAACTTAAAACCATCACTCTTGATGCTCCTTTATTTCCCTTATGAATAAATAAAGCTATTTTAAAAGGAAAAATAAGGAAATCTCCAACCCTTGATTCCTTCTGTATGTGCTCTGCTTCCCACCCTGCAGGTGACCCCTGTGTGCCATCCCAGTGGCATGGATGGGGGCAGTGGCTGCCCTCAGGTGGGCATGACAGTCCCTCTCTGATAAGGAAATGTTTTGGCAGTGGAACAAGTAAGAGATAAAATTTTATGTTGGTTTGTGCAGGTATTTGGATGTGATTTACTCAGAATGTGAGAGCAGCCTCACTTAATCCTGTGGGAATAATTATGGGATAGTGTTACCCACAGGCAGTGCAGGAGGGAGCTGATCTTTGTGGCTGTGGTTTGGCTGGGCAGCATCCCTGTGCAGGGTAACACCTCTCTGTGCCTCTCAGTGATCAGCTGATCTTACATTCAGCCCAGAGCTGGTTTCACAAAATTTATATTTTGGACTGTCCCAGTACTCTGCTCACTGCATCCCCTGCAATGTCCTGCCTGCCCCAGAGCCTTGCTGGAGTGGGGATGTGCAGGCAAGCAGAGAAATGTGTTGTCTTTTCTTCCAGATATTCCATAAGACATTTTCTTATGTCTCTGGAGAATCAAAAACCAGTTTGTATTGGAAGGAACTCTCACAGATCATCTGCTTCCAACCCCAGGAGTATCTCCTTGTGCCCCAGCAGTCTCTGTGGTCTCTGAGTGCTCCAGGGGTGACCCTGCCCCTTTCCTGGTGCTCAGGATCCATCCTCCAAGTGCCTTCTGCTGTGACCCAGCCACCTCCCTGTGCCTTTTAGTGCAGTATGGCCAGTAAGGGAACAACCGTGTAATCTGCAGAAACAGTCACTAATGTACTTCCCCTGATCTAATTCCAGGTGTTGCTGTAAAACTGTAACATACATTTTACCTGACATGCACATTTTATCTGCTGCTCCCTGACACCAAAACACAAAGGAGTGTGAAGTTAAGGTAAAACATAATTTAAAAACCCTCCAATATGAAGGAGAATTGTGACTTTGAGTTCTTTTAACGCTATCCTTTAGAAATCCAAGGTGCAGGCTTGATGCAGGTTCAGGTGTCAGAGGTTTTAGTTACTTTTACACCTTTTAGAGTTTGGGCCAGACTCATTCAACGAATTTTGGTGCTGAGCTTAATGGACTTCTTAAGGTTTGAACTGGATTCTTCAAATGCCATGTGCTGACTTCCTAACTAGGTAAGAGAAGATGCTGAAATGAGCTGTTGCTAAGCTCCAGTTTGCAGAGTGGGGAATGTCAGAGCACACAGGATTTGCCTCCTTGCTCTGAAGCCACAGCCACACTCAGTGTTTCACCCACACTCCCTGACAGCTCTGCAGTCACTCCCTTTTCTGCCTTCCAACAGAGCTCAGCAGTTGAAGCTCTCAGCAGGGGATTACATAAATTGGGGCTTTGCTGTTTTCCTGGAGAGAATTCAAGGAGCCTCTATTATAATCTTCCAGCTGATTGATCTGATGGCTGTGCCAGCTCTGTGCTGTCCAGGGCACTCTGGAGCAAGGCTCTCATCTGACCCTTGCTGCTGAAATGGTTCTGGTGTGTGTGGGCTGAGGAGGAATTGTGTGTTTGCAGCAGGAAGGATCCGTGTTCCCTCACTGCTGCTGCAGTGAGCATCTCCCACAAATGAGTGTCTGTTTACCAGCTCAGTTTCCTTGAGCTGGTTTTTGGCAGGCTGCCCTCCTGCTCCCTCCCCTCCCACCTCCACTTTGGCTCACTTTTTCCACAGCTTTCTCACTACTCCTTCCTCAGCAACTTCCCATTTTTCACCCTTTGCTCCTTCTATCAGAGTGGGATCCATTCCTGCAACTATTGTGCCTCAGCAAGGTGATTCACCTCCTCTTGACACCCCTTAATGGCATTTAATAAAATGCAGTTGTCTCTCTCTTAGGATCCAGAGTAAAACCATTTTTATCCTATTTTATCACCTGGATGCTTTAGTTACATGGATGCTTTTATTTCCAAACTCAAATATATTTGTATTGTCTGTATGCAACCTGTCACCTGGATGTGAAAGACCACAAGATTTTTGTAGAGAAACAGAGCTTTGACAAAACTGGTTATCCAAACCTGAAAGGGGGTAATTTATTAACTAAGTCCCTCTAAAACTTGCTTAGCCTTCTTTAAAGGAAATCTGTCCTAATATTTAAATATTTTCCTAGCTCCAAATACTGAAATGAGAGAAATCCCTCACTTCATCCCCAGTGTGCTTTGTTCAGAAGACATGAAAATCCTCTACTTCCACCATTAAACTCTTCAGGCAGTTTTCTGAGCACCTCTTTGCCCATGAAGATCCAGTAGAAAATCTCAATCATGGATTACTTTCAAATGTTTAACAAAAAAAGACTGCTTCAAGGACAGCCTTCAGTCTTAACTAGGCATGTATTGATTCTAAGTTGGCTGCAACATTTGTGGCAAACAATCTGGACAGTTTTAGCCTGATACTCGTTTGAAAAACCAGGACATTGCAGACTTGCTGCCTCATTTGGGCTGGCTTTTAGCCTTCACTATTTCAGAGTGAGCTCTCACCATCTCCACGGTAACAAGGCACAGGCTGAGGAGGAAGGGGCTGTGACAGAGCGAGTACCAGCACAGGGATGTGAGACTGGAGCTCACACTGGCTCCTTCCAGCTCTGCAAGCACAGGAGCAGCGTTCCAGGGAGAGCTGCAGCACAGCAGTGTCTGTCTGCTGCAAGTGGCAGGGGCATGTGCTGCCCTCAGGGGCCAGGAATCCACAGCCTGGACAGCTGAGTTAATCATTCAAGCTGCTGCTGGAAGTAAAAAGGTAGAGAAGTTAACGACAAAAAAATCCTCCTGATCTTTCTGTTCCTTGCTGTTGCCTCTCTGTAAATAACAGAACCTGGCAGCTGACATGAAATAGCTTTGGTTCATTCCTCATCACCTGGAATCTCAAAATTGGTGCTCCTGATGTTCAGTTCCCATTGTTCCTGTATTTTATGAGTGAGAACTGAAGCACAGGGTGCCTGTTCACTGTCATTGTGCTGCACTAATGCCCTGACTGCAGGATTTCAGTTGTCAGAATCCTTCCAAAGCACTGCTCTGTTTCCTAGCCCAATCCAGCTGCCTTCCAAACCTCTCTCTGGGCTCGTGCAGCAGCAGGACAGACTCTGTGCTGTGCAGAGCCTGTATTTCCTGCTGGTATTCACAGGAGAAAGGTGTTTAAAAAAGACTGCATGTGGCACTCAATGCCTTGGTTTAGTTCAGGTGTTGGGGCTTGGGTTGGACTCGATCTGTAAGGTCTCTTCCAATCTGGCCATTCTGTGATTCTGTGAAAACTGCAGCAAGCTCCATGCTTGGAGTGTCAGACCGGGAAGCCGGGCTGGGAGGACCCTGAGGGAAACAAAGGGTGCCTGGGAGCTGCCTCAGGCACAAGTGCTGCTACTGCCCCACTGTCCCCTGTAAATGACCCAAAGATAAACTGGGGCACCCTGCCTGAGCTCCCTCTGGCATCTGTCAGCTCCTAAAGCAGCAGTGAATGAACAGAACTCTGGAGCAGCTGAGCAAAAAGCCCCCAGCAAACAAAACGCTGCTTTAAAATGGCTCTTTGGAAAGAATGCACACATGTATATGGCTCCCGTTGATTTTATTTGAATTAAATATAAAACTGTATTCCCCACATTACATTGATTCATCTCAACCAGTCTCAGCAAAAGGCAGGTGAGCCCTCCCACCACCCCTGAAATTCAGACACCAGTCTGTGGGCCCGGGGAAAAGTTGTATCTGCATCATTCCCTTGTGGAAACAAACTCCACAGCCAGGCCAGCAGGACTGAGCTCCTGTTTAACCCTTCTGCTCCCACTGCCTGAGCAGCACCCACAGCTCTGCTCTGAGCTGCTGGACACACATCCTGACAGTAGGAATCCCCCAATGTGTTCTTGCCCAGGGAACACTGGCACAGCTTAAGTCTGAGCACAGCGCTCTGCTCTAACGAGGTTGGCTGAGCAGTCCTGCCTTGGCTGCCAGAGCCTCATTCTGCTGGATGTGGTACTCCTGGAATCTCATGGAGATCCTCTGGGTCATCTTTAGATACTTCTGCAGGCAGTTTTCTGAGCAAGTTACCTACAGCAAGAGGGAAAACACAGGGCTTCAGACAGTGAGTCAAACACATCCCCAGCCAGGACCCAAAATACCACCACAGACAGGGATAAACGGGTGAGTACATCTCATATTGTCAAGATAAGGGCAGTAGAAAATGCAAAGTTGAGTTTTTCTGATATGCCTGAAACATTTACTAATATTCATTCTCAAAATAAAGTCTCCATGAAAAATGCCATGGACCTGGCGGATAGCATCCTTCTGTCCATGGGCTCCCCTCTTGTGGAACTGAACTACATATTTTGAAATTAATAAGAAATCTATTAAATTAGTAAGTTTTGTTTTAATTCTGTTCACAAACACATACTGGCTTTGACAGCCAAATACGATCTGCCCTCTAAGTCAGTTTAACCCTTTTTTACTCTTGTTCCCATTGGCTCTATCAGCCTTCTGGTACCTGCCTTGCCACCAGAGTACATCAGGCAGCTGGACTGGCACTTAAATAAAGAAATAAACACCAGAGCCTATTCCATCCACAGTATTTTTCAAATTTAAAGTGTAGAGAAAGAGTTGTGAGATTATTTCTGAGCTACAGTCCTCCTAACTGGATATCCTGTGCCACAGCTCAAAACCTTGCTATCACTGCAAAGGTAACAAATCTGGGTAGAAAGGAAAGCCAATCCCTTTGCCCAGGAACGCAGACATTGCTTTGGTTCTGCTCAGGACAGAGGGATGTGAAAAGCAGAAGGGATGGAATGAACCAGACAAAACCCCAGTGAGCTCCACACACCACCCAGCACCTGCCCTTCTCAGTCCTCAGGCTGGCACCAGCTACAGCCAAACCTGCTGAGCAGGAGCGGAGTCTCCCTAGGAAACAACTTCTGGAAGTGCCCCAAGCCTCGCTGCCAGAGGGAGCGGCGTGTGCGACACGCTGCTGCAGAGTCCAGACTTGCACTGGGACTTGGGCGAGGAAAGAGCTCAGAAGTTGGGTTTTTTCAAGTGCAGGATCCCAAAGGGGATGTGTGGAGATTTTAATCTCAACTATTTAATAAGGAACTACAACTCTCAAGAGAAACATCGGAATTTCCACAGCAGTGTCCTTCTAGACAAGTGTCCTGTTTCCAGAGACAGGTGCTCTGCAGGAAATCCCATAATGGGCAATATGGGCAGAACTTCCCATAAGAAAGTTTCTTCCTAATTCCACTGTTAACAGAAAAAAGGCAGGTCCCAATCAGAAAATGGTTTGGCTTGGGATGACTTTAAATATTATCTCATTCCAACCCCCTGCCATGGCAGGGACACCTCCCCTAGTCCAGGTTGCTCCAAGAATCTAAGAATATTTTTTGGATCCAAGTAATCTTTAATCCAGAATAATTATGACCTGTAATAGAATTCCACTAAAGCAGACACAGAGAAGATTAGGGAAAGAAGAAATCTGTCTTGGGAAGCTAAGAGAGCTCTGTTCAGAGCAGCGGACCCAAAGCTGAAAGAAGACATGAGTTTTGCCTGCAGTGAGGAGCTGAACTCCAAGGAGGCAGAAAAGGCTCAAAAACAATGGTTAATTTAAAATTTTAGGCAGAGTTAAGCACAGGTTATTAGATTTTTAACCAACAAAATGATTAGGCTCTGAAACAGCCTCTCAACAGGTGAGGAGAAGCAAAACTATGCAACTACTCTTATGGAGAACTTAATCTTTCTGCAGATGACGACGTGAGGGAGCTCCCTACACCCACACTCCACTGAAGGCTGCTGCCCGGCTTTGGATCTTAATTTACAGATCAAAACTCTCTAAGTTGCTTCTGAAATTGGAATGCTGCACATCAGTTCTACCAAAGGATCATTAGAAGCCATCACCTACCTCTTCTGGTTTCACATCTCTGCTAGTGAAATCCTTTATGCAATCCACAAAGCAGTTTTCTGTAAGTTTATTGTATGTGCCAAGAAACTCCTTGAACTGTAAATAAAAATTGGACAATGGATATTAGGAAAAAAAAACTGTGTTTATTTTTCTTACATAGAGCTGCATGGTATAAGAAAAAGTGAAGGACAAGTCACTAGAAAAATTTACTCTCAGTCAGAAGATTTCAGCACCAAAAGCTGCTCATACACAAAACATGCTATTTGTCAATGGTCACCTGCTGAGCTTTTAGTTGTGTTAACTCAGATAACTCAGAGTTCTTGTCCTTCCCTATGCACTACACCGTCCACTCCCTGTGACAGAGCAGCACAAGACTTTCAAAGCCACCCCTCCCAAATGCAGCATCTCACCTGCTTGATCTGATCAGCCTCTGATATTTGTCCAGCCATGTTCCACCACCTGTGACTCAGTCACCTAAAGGTGAAAATAAAAGTGGAGTTTTAAATAAAAAACATAAATATGAACTGCAACATTTTACATCAGAATGGAATATTGTGCATCCTTAAAGTGTCTTTAAATGCAACTTCACTAGCAAACTTCTAAGCCATTCACTCAAAGGGAAGTTACCTGTTGGGAATGTATTCAGTTAAAAAACCATCCAAGATAATTCCCAGTATGAAACCTCACCAGAGCCACCTGCTAACTGCTGTCCTTTGAAGACTTTTAGGGCATTTCACACAGCTGAAGTGGCTTACAGAATACCTTATTTATTTTTATAAGTGCTGTCAAACTTACTGAATAAGGAGCTGGGGAAGAAGCAAAGTTGTAACACTTTCTAGCCTTAGAGTTTCAGTGACTTCAGATGTGATTTGTAAAAAGTAAGGAAAAAAGGCAAATATAAACTGGCAGTCACTGAACAGATGCAGCACGAGGTGCAGGGCCTGCTTTCTGTGTAACTGTATCAAACACCTCAACTACAGCAAATGTTGTGGTTATTGTAGTGAATTAAATACAAGAAAAACACAGAACAATGAAAATGGAATGAAACAGACAAAGAAAAAGGGAAGAAGTTAACAGCCATGGATCTAAGAATTTAAACAAGCATCCTCAACGAAGACTCACATTCCTAATCCAACACACTGAACAAGTTAAGGCTTGAAAGCATCTCTGCAGGTTTCCTAGAAGACTGAAGCCTAGTCTCCTTTTCCCTTAATTTCCATGTTATCTAAGACCTGTTATCACAGATGACAATGCAAACTGATATCACGTGTTGGCAAGAACAAGCTCCTTAGTTTAATTCCACTTGTGGAAGAAAAATGAGCACTGAACTGCAATCACTTTGGGAAAAAAAATTCTTTTAGTCCTTTAGCAAGGGCTACTTACAATTAATCTTTTATTATGCTTTGCTAAGTTTTGGGCAAGACATTCATGTTTTAGAGAGCTCTAGCAACTGCAGTCTCTCAGCAGGGGGAAGGGAAGGGTTACACAAGCTGCCTGAACATGAACAAAGAGACAGCAACAATTATTTCTACAACAGAAAGAAAATGAAGCAACTAAAAATAGCATCAGGGAGCTGTCAGAAGAGTGAACCGTCCCTACAGCCCCTCCTAGCAGCACAGGGATGTGACATCTGCCTCCTGACACCACACTTTATCCCTGCACAGGGAGCCAGTTCAGAGACTGGAGGCCAAGGCCACAGATGATTCTGGCATGTAAGATGCAAGAATTCCTCATGGGCAGGCTGGTCACACATGTTATTCCGAAGGAGAGCCTGCAGGATATGGTGGTAACAGGGAACCAGGTTTTATTCAGATGGTCACAGAATCACAGACTGGTTTGGGATGGAAGGGACCTTCAAGATCATCTCATTCCACCCTCCTGCCAGGGCAGGGACACCTTCCACTATCCCAGGCTGCTCCAAGCCCCATCCAGCCTGGCCTGGAACACTGGCAGGATGGGGTACTCACAGCATCTCTGGGAACCCTGTGCCAGGGCCTCAGCCAAGAACTTTCCAGTATCTAACCCTGCCCTGTGGCAGTGCAAAGCCACCACCCCTTGTCCTGTCACCCCATGCCCTCGTCCAAAGCCACCACCCCTTGTCCTGTCACCCCATGCCCTCGTCCAAAGCCCCCTCCAGCCTCTCTACCCTAAACCCCTAATCTGTTTCAGAGAATGGACATGCCCATCACCTGGAGTAACCAGTGAGAAGTGATGGCAACTCCACTCTCTCATTGCTCAGGCTGTGAGAAAACAAGACCAGTGACGATTCTCCCAGGGCAAGTATGTAGATAATTAAACAGAAACTGCAAGGAGCACTCCTGTTCTCTGCCAAAGGCAGGAAGCTCAAAGTTTCAACTGTCGGTGCCATTTTCCCACAGTCAGCGTTGCTTCATGATCTGTGTTTGTAGCAAACCTGATCCCTGTCTTTCTGTGACTGATTTGGCAAGATTGAAACTGTAGTTTCACAGAGCTTCGACACCTGGGGAAGGCTCTGATTCACATCAGCACAACCGGATCTGAAGTGCCTGAAGCTCTTGTCTCCGTGCAGGTATTTCACACATTCCACGGGGGGATCACACGGCTCTGCTGCACCTTCAGCTATAAATCAGCCTTACATCTAGAAACTGAACATTCCCAGGAATGTGCAAATCTGCTTTGTTCTGAAGTCTGCTAAATGTATTCTTTCAAGATTTCCTGCTGCTTCTCCCCTTTCCCTCCAACTCTGAAAAAAGCTTTTAAAGGGTGATGAAAAAGTGCTCAGCACCTCAGCCAACCCAGCCCAGAGCTTCCTGCAGAGCTGTTCACACCACTCCTGCACGGCTCAGGTTTAATCCTACAGAGCCTGCAGGACTTTCCCATGGGCTAAACACAATTTAAAAATCCAGCACTGCCCCTCTAAGCAAGGATATTCACATTGCAGGAAGCAGAGGTCTCAGAATAAACCTCTGCTGTAAGGGACACAGTCTGGGTGTGCTGGGTCACCAGAAAGGAGCAAGACTGGGAAATCTCCCTTCTTGGAAGGCCCCGGGGCTCTTCCAAATATGTATTTCATTAAGAGGAGTCCCTCTGATAAAATAAACAATCCCTGTGTTTGGGATTTTTTTTCCCCCATCTTTTTGAGAAGAGCTGCATTTTTCTGGGAAGAAGAGTGATGGAGAGACACTACAAATCTCTCACATTTGTAATCCCCACTATCCATCTGAATCAGCTGTAACTACCACCTACTCCATAAAAGGAAAGCTGAAATGTCTCTTTAAACCTTTGCTTCCAGCTGCACACAGAGAACACCATGCAAGTGTTTCTGAAAAGGAAAAAGAAGGGTAAAAGCACCAAGTCAAAGAAATGTCTCAAAGAGTAAAAACCTTGAGTCAAAGAATTGTGTTAAGGTAAACTCCCCACAGCTTGTAGAGAAAGTTCTTTTATCATGGGGGATTACTAGGATACAACTGGATTGCCATCAGATTGAAAAGATGCCCAAACAAATCGATTGTCAGGAGCTGGATAACCAGCTGTAGCTGGCACTTAGCTTGTTACCATTCAGTGTCTCCTGCATTTGGCCTGGACCCTGCTGGGAAGGAGAAGGGATCAGAGGCAGAAACCGAGCGCCAAAGGTGAGTGCGAGGGTCAGCCTGACCTCAGGCACCAGGACAGCCTCACGTGTGTGGGCATCAGGCCTAAGGGAAAATACACAATTTATGTGAGATCACACCTGCCTGACGCTTCTCACCCGATAAAACCAAAACCTGAGGCTAACGCGTCGCGCTTTTTTTTTTTTTTAATTTTTTTTTGGGGGGGGGGGGGGCTTTGCCTTCTATCCATCCTCCAGCTCTCCCTTCCAAGGGCACATAGAGCTCCTCTCCCTTTGCAATCACTCGCTCAGCCAAGCCCCGGCCCAACACCGAGCACAGAGCGGGGATTTCCCCATGGAGGGCTCTCGGGAGCGCTCCCGGTGTCTCCGGGGCCCTCACGGGGAGGCTCCGGGGCCCTCACGGGGAGGCTCCGGGGCCCTCACGGGGAGGCTCCGGGGCCCTCACGGGGAGGCTCCGGGGCCCTCACGGGGAGGCTCCGGGGCCCTCACGGGGAGGCTCCGGGGCCCTCACGGGGAGGCTCCGGGGCCCTCACGGGGAGGCTCCGGGGCCCTCACGGGGAGGCTCCGGGGCCCTCACGGGCTCTCCCGGGCAATGGGAACGCTCCCGGTCCCTCAGGGAGGCTCCCGGTCCCTCCCGGTCCCTCCCGGGCCATGGGAACGCTCCCGGTCCCTCCCGGTCCCTCAGGACCGCTCCCGGTCCCTCACGAGCGCGCGCCCGTTCCCGCGCCCGCTCCCTCGCGCGCACTCACCGCCCGCGCACCGGCCCCGCAGATTCGCACGGGGAGGGCCCGGCCCGTCCCGGTCCCGCAGATTCGCCACGGGCCGGGCCCCGCAGATCCCCCACGGACCGGCGAATCGGCCGCCCGCGGAGCCGCCGCCCGATTTACCCTCCCCGGTCCGCGCGTTTCCCGCCGGACGCTGTGGAAGGGAGGACCCCCCGCGCGTTTCCCGCCGGACGCCGGTTAAGGAGACGCCGTGGCCATGGTACCGCGCGCTTCCGGTGTCACCGACCGGGCCGGGACAGCGGGAACGGGGCTGGGACAGCGGGAACGGGGCCGGGATTAGGGCCGGGACAGCGGAGCGCTGCTCTCCGTGCCCGCGGCGTGCGAGGGAACCGCGCCGTGCCCGGCCCGCCCTGCCCGCCGCGCTCGGCTGCGGACGGAGCCGCCCGCCTCGCCCCGCTGCCGGCCCGGGCCCCGGGCGGCGCCGCTGCAGGTCAGTGACCGCCGGTTCGGCACAGAGCTGAGCTCGGAGGCGATTTCAGCCACGGGGGAGTTGTGTAATCAAGGAATCTTTGCGTTCCCGTCCCGCAGTTGTCAGCGCTCTTTGTTCTCCCAACTGTTCCGCACATGGAATGTGAGCGGTGCGGGCTGTGAGGGAGCCACAGGAGCTGCGGCTGCCCCTGGATCCCTGGAAGTGTCCCAGGCCAGGATCCCTGGAAGTGTCCCAGGCCAGGATCCCTGGAAGTGTCCCAGGCCAGGATCCCTGGAAGTGTCCCAGGCCAGGATCCCTGGAAGTGTCCCAGGCCCCTGGAAGTGTCCCAGGCCAGGATCTCTGGGTCTCTGGAATTCTTCCTGAATCCCTGGAAGTGTTTCAGGCCAGGCCCCTGCATCCCTGGAACTGTTCCAGGCCAGGATGGATTTGGCTTGGAGCAGCCTGGGGTAGTGGAAGTTGTCCCTCTGCATGGGTGCAGGAATGCTCACTCCCTGTTAAACATCCCTCGTTAAAGGATGTGATGCCTCAGGTTTTAGCTTTTATATTTTTTTCACATTCTCTGCTGCTTTAGTGCATCATATTTAGGGGATGATAAGCTCTCTTCACAGAGGAGTGAGATAGAGTGAAAATTTAAGAGTAGGAATTTATTTGGATTTAGGTGAAATGTGTCACTTTGTCCTTGTTAACATAAATGAAATATGTTGTTTAGTCTGGTAACTGCAGCACTAGCAAAGTTATCCCAGCTAAGGAGAAAAAAATACAAATTTCTACACTAAAAAGATGAGAGACAAAAAAGCCTCTTCGGACTTTGAAACAGACAAGGCAGAGTGACTCAAGAGTTCTTTCTGTACTTTCTGACAAAAACTGAGTACAGGCGTAACTAGCTGTAAGTGTAACTCGAAATCGCAGAATGAATATACATGAACCTATTGTGAAATCCTATGCATATGGGAATTAGGGTAACAAAAAAAGATCGAGAGCTCTCAGGAGTGTGCATGTCCATTGAAAGGCAATAAGTCTCCACCTGCATGCAGCACTATAATAAACATATAGTTCCCTACAAATCTTTATTAGAATTGTAGAGTCTTGATTTTTTCCACATTTCAGCAGGGAGGCAAAACAATTCCTTCTCTAGGTGGAGACTGAGGACAAATGATCCAAATTTCAGGCCCAAGAACAGAAACAACATGGGCTGAAGAGAGAAAACCAAAAAGGGTGGGACTTCATAAGCTAAAGATATTGACAACTAACTCCAATATGCAAATGGACCAAAACTTATAAAAGTGTGAGACCCCATGACCTGTGGTCCATTTTTGTGGCCATTTTGGGTTGTGCTGCCCAAGGTGGATCTATTTGAGGCCTCTTAATAAATTCCTGCTTTATTCTTAAGCTCTGTCTAGTCTCTGTTCTAGGTCAGCCTTCACAAAGCATCAGTTGTTTAGTAATGTTCTGTTTTTCAGAGGTTTCTCCATGCTGTAAATCGAATTTCTCATTCAGACTCACAGAATTCCTTGATGTTTTTAAGCTTCAGCACAATCTCTGTAGTCATTTGTGTTACAAGGGTCGTGATGTCCAGGCCTTCAGAGATAAGGGAAATGTGGAACTGTACAGAAAATGCACCACAAATTATCCTGACCACAGTAAAACTGCTTTTATTTTAGGAGTCCTAAGCACCAAAGCATATCCAGAATGCCTGCTTCCAGTTGAAAATTCCAAGCCCATGTTTTTATCCCAAATGGTAAGAAAAGCTGCTGCTCCTTCCTGCAATCCTGAGCTAAGAGAACAGCGTTTTCCTCAAAAAGCTGTAGCTCCTCTAAAAGCAGCACAAGATTTTGGCTCAGCCTCTGCACCACAGCTGTGCAGCTGCTTTTTGTTTGAGTTGCTGCTGGTGTGGTGTTACTGCTGCTGCTTTTAGAAGGGCTTTATTTAACACTGAGTGCTTAATTCTCTGTGTGTGAGCAATCCTGAATTGTCCAAGATTAGCAACTTCTCTAAACTTCAGCAGGTACAGTTTCACTGCTGCTTCTTTGGCCACAAATGAAAAGAATAAACTTACTTAGCACATAGAATATATGGTTTTGATTTGAATTGTGCTTGTGGAGTTTTAGTCCCTAAAATGCCACGTGAACTCTTGCCAACAATGTCCAGACCCTTCTGTGGCAGAGGTGTTCACATATTTTGTGCCAAAGCCTTTGTGTTGCCTTGTGCAAATGGTTCCATTTGTGTGCTCAGAAGTTCCATCTGCCTCTAAAATTTTGGCTGTAGAGGCTTTGATCTCTGCTTTTTCTGCTCTTTTCCTCAAGGATCCTCCTGGAGAAGCTGCAGCACAAGATGATCCTTTGGTGCTGCTGGAAGATAGCAGAGAACCTGAAGGTAAAACACACCAATCACCCTTTTTGTAAGGAGACTGATTAATTAAAGGAAAAGGGAGCTTTTAGGTATTATTTTTTATTTCATTATAGAAACTTCTGAGTGAAAATATTCAAGGGTTGCTTTGATAAAAAGATGAGAATTGTAACAAACATTCTTTAATTTTGCAAATTTTATCTCATTGCTGGCATTACATTTTTTTTTAATTAACTGAGTGGGTCTTCCAGTGTTGAGATTCCTTTTGTTAACCAGATATTCGCATCTCTGAATAGACAGTTTGGGGAAGGGGCTTGTTTTGATCCATTTTACTCTTGTGAATTATTGTACTACAAAGGCATATTTTTCTTCAAGCAGCCTGTACCAAAAAAGTGTCTTTCTAATCCTTAGGAATCCTAAAAATCACAATGTCAGTGTCTTTTCCTTTAATTTCTGAATCTACCAATTTCAGTCAGATTTAGGGAAGCTAAGGCTTTTTAAAGAAAACACATGTATGCAGATTTCTTGGATATCTGGAACTGTGCAGAGGACAAAAAACACAAATAATGCCCTAGTTAAGACAAAAAATCAGTACTTTTACACTCATAGGCAGCAGCTACCTGACTTAGCAGCATTTGCCTCCTCTGCACAGCTAACAGTGGGTGGGGGAGAGCCTGCAATGCTTTTAGCATGATTTACACCTATTAAGAAAACTTGTAGTTTATGATGATGGCAGGGAAATACTCTTTCTGGGGTTTTCTTAATTAAACTTTTTTTCAAGTCAGAATTTGCAGCATTTTATTGACTGGGTTGCCTGAGCTCAAGTTACCATTGAGACTTTACTCAGCATTATTGGACTTTATTGATAGCAGCATTCAGTGCTATAAAAATTGTGTTAAATTAAGCCTGGTCTTACTCTTACCATTATTTAAGTTTTCTACTTACTGAAAGGAAACAATTTGTTGTTGCAATAGATGATGTGGTTCCTGGAGGCAACAGATTCTTCACAGCAAAATTAAATTGAAATATCAGAAGTATTGAAGTAATTGAAATAAAATTGAAGTATTGAAGTAATACTTTGTCTCTACCTGTGAAATAGACATTTTGTGCCAATTATCTCAACAAAGGATGTTTGTTCTTCCCCACAGATGATGTTTTTATTTCTCAGTATGCTACTGGCCAGAAGGAGGCTCTGAGAGCAGCATTAATGCAGAAGTAAGTGTGAATTGTTGTTGATGTGTGAGGAAGAAATGTTTTTTTTACAGTTCTCTGTCATTGTTCTTTTTCTGTGTATACAAGTGTTTTCAATTGATTTTATT